AAACTTAAATTAGAAAAAAAAAACTGACAATATATATAACTTTTTACAAAGTTCTTATTCATGCATGAAATATATTTATAATTTCTTCAGGATGAATAAAAAAAAATCAAAAATTTTTTTCACTCATTAATTACTTTCCATAACGTTCGCAATAGACCCCCCTGCTTTTATTATATTTGATTGAATGGCAGAAAAAAGTCAAGAGATCGTCTCGCAATGCTACATATTTAGCACATAGGAGTTGTGTGAAAAAGGATTAATATCCTCGTTATGTTAATTGCACGTTATGTGTCTCCACAAAAAGCAGCTTAAAGTTATACTAGTTAACATAAGAGAGAATGGTGCTTTCGCCCCACCCCTAACACCCGCTATTTATTACTCGCATGTTTGTTCTCGTTTGCACTATAGGTTATAATAATATAATAATAACAGTATCATGTAAGAAAAAGATCTTTGTGGTCTGGTTGATCAGTCTCTTAAGCCATCCAAGCAATGTACTGTTACTAGTGGTAGGGCAAACAGGATTTTAGATTGTATTTAACTAATAGATATATTGTATTTGCATTACCTTGCATTTTTCATAATCAAAAGTCATCTGCCATTTTATTATCCAACTTGCCAAATCATCCAAATTTTTTTAAAGCAATATCCTTCTCTTCACAGCCAGTAACACTCAAAATTTAATTAGCAAATTCAAGTAACTTGTTGACGATTCTTTCACCTGTATCCTTGATCTTAAATTAAGAGCAAAAGGTCTTAACACTGAGCCCTGAGGTATTTATTCCACTTGTGATATGAATGCAGCTTGACTGAACTTCATTTATAATAATCCTCTGCTTTCTTTTTTCCCCATCAGTTTTCTGTTCAATAAGCCAACTTATTCTCCACACTTGTTTTTTTTTTAACAAGACTTATGTAACACACTGTCAAATATTTTTTGAAAATAGTCTCTTAAAAGAATGTCGAAAGATTAGTATAATAAGATTTTCTCTTAGTTGAAACCATGCTGACTATCTATCAACATTTTTATTGTTATTGATTTGGTATCACAAGGTTACTGTTCCAGTAGGTTATAAGTACAGTAATAAAATCAAAGAAGAAAATTGATGTATTAATGTGTACTAAAAGGCTTGCCAAATTTCATGAGAATACATGTAATAAAGACAGAGTTATAGTATGCCATATAGGTTCTTGGTGGGTCAATATATCTGACTTGTACTGAAAGAGCTAATAGGCATTTGGCAATGAAACTTTTAATTTAAATACAAACATAAATATAAAGGAGATAGTTTTTTATTTTACATTAATGCAATTTGCTGAATATATTAGTCTTTGCAAGTTAAAATTTTGCATGGATAAATAGTACTTACAAAAACTGTATGTACTGAAGGTTCTAGTATTAAAATTTTTGATTTACACAAGGATGCATGTTTTAAAATAACAGTGATCTGGATTGTATTTAATTATCAATGCATGAAACTGAAAGGTTAATGAAAATTTCACAACTTACCCAGAACTTTTTTTTATAATATTTACAATATTGCAGACTTTGAGAAATTCTAATCATTTCATTATGATGCCATCTTTTTCATGGAAATTTTTTTTGTAAAACATTTCATTGCAACATGGATTTAAAGAACCAAGAATAGAATTTATCAAAACTGAATATTTTCATTAATAACACTTAAAAGGGGTTAAAAAATACAATAAGGAAATATTCAGCAGCTGCTGCATGTTACATTCTAAGCCTGTTTTGAATTTCATTTTTGGTTTGTTTCGTTAACATTGTTTAGAACATACAAGGTGTGTTATTTTACTAAAGTTGTATGATTTTTGGAGGAAATGAGAGATCACGAGTTACTCATGTGTCTTCACTTAATAATTACTTTATTGCTTTTAATTTTTAAGAGTAGAATTGTATAATGTGTGTAAGAGAATTTGTAATAAGCCTATCACTTTTGTTTTTATTATTAAATAGCTGGGTAACATACCAACAATAGGGTCATCTTAAGACTGTTCTGCATTCAATTTCAATTTCCTCAACTTCAAAGATGCTTTTTCTACCCAGCTACAAAATAGTTGCTTTTAGCCATTTTACTGAATTTAACTTTTTATGGAATAGAATGGCAGATAATCCAAACTGGTAAGTTTTTTAATTTTTTTTAAAGGTATCTGGATAGGTATTAAAAAAAACTAAATTGAAAAATATACTATTTAGTCATTCTTAAATCCATGTTTTTTCATATTAGTTCACTCTATAGTTGTTAAATATAGCCAGCACAATGTTTATAAAGTGTAGACAACATCAAAAGGAATAGAAATTGGCTCTGCATGTTTGAACTTGTGTCCAGTTCAGCCAGGATGGATCCATGACATTTTTCTTAACAGCCAACTGATGTTTCTTAAAAGATACATGTTAACAAAACTTGATTTGGTTTTAATTTCATTATCTACATCAGAAATGAAATGCATTTGTTGATTCTACATTGTATGAAAAACATTAGAGATCCTTATGAATGTCTAAGTAAACATAATGGCTTATTTTTGTTCTTATGCATGTTTCTAGTTCCAAAATGAGGCTTTAGTAATGTGGTATCATAGTTGTGGTAGGTTTCAATCTAGAAAAGTATGTAATAGACAAGTTCAGTGTTATGTACAATAACTAAATTTTATAATTACTTACAAATGAGAAGTTTTTATTTTTATGAAATGTGTTATTGCATTGTTTACAGATTCAACAGTTATTTTAGACATGATGAAATAGTCGAAATATGTACGTGTTGCACTGATTCCAAGCCATACCACCTTCAGAAAGTTTTAAAGTATTCTGTAATTTTTAACTTTATATATCGTGCAAAAAATAAGAATGGTTTGTGGAACATTAAAATAGAAAGGAAGCACTTAATTGAATCAGTTCCAATCATCCTTTTGTTGGAACACACACATCTAAGTTTTATGTCAAATAGTTGCCAGACTAAATTATCTATGTATATCATGGATTTGAGCCTGGGTCTGTGAAGTATTCTCCTCTGATTTATCCTTTGTTTTATCAAAAAATTTTCAGTCTCATGTTCATTATTTATGTTTTTTGATCTTCAAACTGATGTAGTTGAATTTTTTTACTACAGAACATAGCTAGAATCACTCATGTATTCTAAATCCATAATCCAGTATTGACTGTTTATAAATTTAACTCTTACTATGGCCATATGAAAGTACAATGTCATAATCTTATCCAGTGATACATTCAAAATTTTATTAACCCACGCATTATTAATGTATGTCAGAAATAATGACATAAAATCGTAGTTTATAAATAAAATGTTTACATTACTTAAGTTTTAATTTGTTTATATCAAAAAGAAATATTTTTAATTTTCATTTTTCTGTGTTACTTGATATGATGGAGCTCTGATTTTGTTTTCCAATTCAGAAATTTATAACTTCAGTAATAGGCTTCTGTAATTTCCAGTTTTCAACCAGTTAGAAACAGTCTCGCTACAGCTATTTCATTTTGGTAAGATAGAATAGCAGTCTTCATTTGTGTTTGAACTTCCTAATCCTGCTTGAACATTTAAAGACATTTTTAGCCTGTTTATAATTTACTTAGAAAGTCAGTTAAATTATAGTAGTTTTGTGATGTTTTAGTTCACTGATAGGTTTTGTGTGTTCTAAAATGCACATTTGAAAGTTACATGAATTCTTTACCAATTCCAAATTTTAAGAGAGAAAAGTAGGCTTATACAAAGATCATGTACTGTAAGTGAAACAGACAATGGGCTCCCATTGTGCTTTGGGAGAAGGACAGACTGCTTCTGTACAGGCAATAAAACTGTAAAATTAAAAGGATAATTTTGTTGTGAATAGTGACTTGATTTAAACTTCTTAGTTTGTTTAATGTTAAGTAGGTTGTCAATGTCATTTATACTGTAAGTACCACTTTAATCTAAAATATTTAAGTTAACCTTTAAGGTAAGGTAAAATATGGGAGGAAAATATAAAATTGTACACTTAGTATTTTGAAAAATATTACTAATTTTGATTTATATTCTTTGAAAAAAAAGAGTTGACTGATATGTGGCAATTGTAGAACTGTATATTCTCCTCAGTTCTCTCTTACCTTTTCCTCAAGGTTTTTTAAATTCTTTGGACAAAAGTGGTATTTACAATACAAAGTTATTACCAACTTACTTACATTGTGTAAACTGAGAAAAATGTAAAATGTAGACAAAAGGACCACCAGTCAGCTGAAAAAAAAAGTCATGAATTTAACATTTAACTGGACATGCAATTCAGTGGAACCAGATAAAACATTTTACAATAATATTCTTGAATAATATTGTGTTTATATAATAATAATAATAATAATAATAATAATAAAAGGTGAACAAATATTTGGTCCAAGTGTATTGTTTGGTATTTAATGAAACTGTATGATAGGACTTGTTTGAGATAAACTATTTTATTTATAAATACCGGTAGTACTCATACATATCTTTTTACTGCTGGTAATGGCTGAATTTTTTTATCATTAATAATAATAAATTTCATTTGTATTAGTTTCAAGATTCTTGCATGTATATAAAGGAACTCCCGATCCAGATTCATACTTTTGATTACAACCAGTACTGATACTGTTTTAAAGTGCATCTTGACTACTTCTGGTGCTGCTAGACATGGAGTTCCAGAAACATGAAGGATTCCTACTGAACTATTTGATCTACATCAAGAATTTGCACATAACTTTTATCAGAATTAATGAAAAACAGATAGCAATATGGTTAAAGTTGATTTATATTAGTTACAGAACCTACAAGAATAGATTGTTTACAAACTTAATTTTCAAAAACAGGGTCTCTTCACTGCTAGTTTTCCAATTTTTAAATTTTTTTCCAAAGGAAAACAACTGCCATTATTTATTCCTACATTTATATTCTTTCTTCTAGATAAAAGGAATACTAATCCTTGAAAAAAAATTGAAAAACTAGATCTGTAGTCCAACTGGAACACTATTTTACACACAGTAGTTAACTTGAATAATTGCTATAGCCCAATATATTTTCAGTGTATTAGAAAAAAAAAAACCTTACTGATACTAGATATTTTAAAGTATATGTCCATTTTCCTACATCTACATGAAGGTAAAACCTATAACTTAACATTTTAATTATTTTGATATCTGTCTTAAAAATGAATATTTCACTATTATATTTTTTTAACTTTCCGAAAAGAGTAACAGTTAAACATTGAGTTACTATATTTAGTCCAAAATCATAAGCAAGATGTTACAAGTCACTACAAAGGTGACAGTCTGCTGCATAGTCAAATTGGTTAACACATTGAGTTTCATTTGTAAACATGATTGGTATGACTAATTTCTAATACATAGAAAATTTCACACATATTTAGGTGCTGTAAAACAGCATTACGTATCTAAATGGCTGTCCATGGGGGATTGTTCGCACAGATAGCAATCTGCGCGAACAATCCCCCATGGAAAGTTGTTGGGGTTTGTTTTTATATATTTTTTAACTTAGACACTTGTGTTTTATGTATGATTGCATTTTAAGTTCATGCCAATATTGTGTAATTATAATTTTCAATGTTGAGGAAGTGATAATAAAATTGAGTATTTCAATTAAAACTTCCTTTTCACATGTATTATTCACTTTACATTGGATATTTTATGAGATTTACGAATTTGTAATAACATGGTGTGAAACCACAATTGAGTTTTTGAATAATGCTTCAAGTTTGGTGTTTAAAGCAAATAAAATTTAATTTTCAAAAGAATTTTTCAATAAACTTGAGTGTTCTTTTTAATGAAGATATTTACTGAAAAAGAAAAATTAGTTAAACGAAATTCAGTCTTCATGATAATCGGTATGAGTGTTATGTAAATAAGCTTTTATAATAGTTGAAGTTTAGGTTTGTTATTTTAGGCTCATTATGTGGGTATTCTTAATTAACAAATACCTGTATGTTGAACATTCATTAAGGAGTTGAAAGTTTACACTAAAAAAACTAATTTACATAGTAAATGCCCATCTTTGTTTATTAATATTTAGAAATTTTAGATCCAATTGAACCAATTATGGACAGTTATTTTCGAAATCAAGTTAATGATTACGTTATCACAAACAATCATTTATACACATACTGAAACTGATAAACAAAAGGTACAAGATGTCACAACTATTGATTCAACCCATCAAAATATTGGAGGTGCAGCTAACAATAAAACAACTGAAAAACAAAGCACACACTTTAAAAATGGGCCCCTTGTACTGTATAGACATTCTTATTCAATCTTTCATTAAAATCAGGCTAATTACCTGGCACTTGGAAACAGACAGATGTACCTGTGTTTCCAAAGGAAAGAAAATCGGAGAATAAATTCTAAAACTACAAACCCATCAGTCTGTTTAGGTAAAGTTTTAGGGAAAACAGGACTTTCGTGCAGAATTATTTACTGGCTATCCAACTTTTGGGGCGATAGGAATAACAGAGTAAATTTAGAGGGTGCCTATTTGAAGTACTTTACTGCATAAGGGGTATCCTTCAAAGAGACATAGTTAGTGTACACTATTTGTCATGTATGTCACCACCATGCTTTTTAAAGACTCAAATTGTCATTTCTGCTCACAATTTGATGACGATGTGACTATTTGGAAAAGTTCCACAAATTCAACAACAGCTGCATACAACCTATAAGCTCTATTAATTGAAATAGAAGAATACTGCAATAAATGGAGAATAAAAATAAATGCAAACAAAACACAAGTTATATTATGTACCAAATCTATTAAAATAAGCATGATTAAAGCTTTTATTCAGGTAGCAACATCAGCCAAATTCCTAGGACTAATGTATGACTTAAAATTAAACTGGTCACAACACAAGGTTTATCAAAACAAAGATTGGTAAATAGCATGTTTCCTTTGGGTCTGGCTGGCATAGTCAGAAAATGTTCTAAAAATATATAAAACTTATACAGTGGAACACATCTGCCTAGTGTGATTAAATGTATCAAAAACATAAGACAACTAAATTTAAAAAAAACGCCATAACTAAAGCATATATAGGATGTTATAAAAAAAATTAAACCATAGGTGATTTGCAGCTTTTCTTAATTTCAGATACATCACTGATTATGGTGCTGTCAAAACACGGGAAGTTAGAATTAATCCCAACAGAAGGTTGCTGCTGAATTTAAGAATACCATCGAGAGAGAAAAAAACATCACTCCCAGTGCTGTTGGGAAGTTACTAGCTAAATTTAAGGAGACTGACAGTGTGGACCATTGACAATGACATGAATTTACTTTGCAGTGTTCAAAGAGAATGGAAATGCTGTTTCGAATTAGAAGGACAGCATGTGGAACATATTCTGTAAAATGTGTATAAGTGCTTAAGATTCTAAACCTTTGACACCCTGCAGAGTACCATGATCAACTAACATAACATTCCTACATAAATATCACGTTTTTGTCACACAAGACTTTTAACTAACTTGCTCCCAGTATCTTAATAAAAAAAACCGCGGAAAAAATCAACTGCTAAGTAACCCACGACAGCTACGTGACTAATACTAGTCCCATTTAATAATCGTCTTAGAAGTCCACCTAGTACTAACCAAACTGATTTTTGGAAACAGAACTAGTTTTATTTTAAAGATTATTTTTGTATGTTATTGTATTCAAGGAGAACTGTATCATGCCTAAAAGGCTTTACTTGCAATCATACACCAAGTGAAACATAATTACAGGTACAAGCTAGCAGTACCTCATTCATGGACGTGGCAGAATAGGGTCTGTTAATAATAGCATCAGGTATATTTACATTTTGAAAGTAACTTTGAAGGAGTATGTTATTTAAAATCTGTGAAAAGAACAAAGAAGGTAATTGGAAAGTAAACATTCCGTGGAGTACCTCACTCTCCTGTAGATCTCAAGTCTATAAACTTTGACCCAAATCACTATTGTTAAAACCATGTGAAGTGTGAGCTAGATTTATTTTGGATTACTGCATGTTTTAGTATGGGAAGGAACAGGGAAGTTTAAGTTCACAATAACCTGACATATAAGTTCAGTTTTATGTTATTTGAATAATGAGAAATACTAATAATTAAAAACAGAGTTCTTAGAGCCATTTCACTGTATTTGGCTAGCATTAAACAACACAACTACACTCACCCAAGGTTCATTTAGATTTTGACTTGCCAGAGAAGATGAACATCATACGGGTATAACATGACAAAGTAGGTATATGAGGATATACTGGGAAGGCTGCCTTAAATTTTATGATTACATCAAAAGTATTTACTCGTTACAAAAATCTAATGCAAGTTTTTCATTTATTACCTTTGAGAGACTAAATTTTCTGGCTTGCACATTAACATAACAGTAAAGTTGTGAAAGTTTTGCATGTGGTTTTTGTTTCATAATCATATGTAAGAGCTTGAATTGTGAAAACACTATTGGTTAATATGAAATTGTTTTTCTTTTTCACTTTGTGTTTGTGAGGCCCGGCATGGCCAGGTGGTTAGGGCGCTCGACTCGCAATCTGCGGGACGCGGGTTCGAATCCCCGTCACACCAAACATGCTCGTTCTTTCAGCCGTGGGGGCGTTATAATGTGACGGTCAATCCCACTATTCGTTGGTAAAACAGTAGTCCAAGAGTTGGCGGTGATGACTAGCTGCCTTCCCTCTAGTCTTACACTGCTAAATTAGGACGGCTAGCGCAGATAGCCCTCGTGTAGCTTTGAGCGAAATTTGTGTTTGTATGCAACATGCTTTAAGTGTCGTCAATATACGGTAAGAATTAAAAAAAAAAAAAAGAATTCGTGGTAACAATGAACAAAATTTTCCGCTCTTCACACCAGGCAGCACTTAAAGCCAACACAGAATTTTTTAACTTAGTGTATGTCGAGTGTTTGTTTGTTTCAGATATTTGAGCAAAGCTACACAAGTAGTATCTGCACTGGCCATCCATAATTTTGAACTAATATACTACTTGGAAGGCAGCTAGCCAATAATACCTACAACAAACATTTGTCTATTCTAATCGCATTGTGGGATTTGATCATTACTCTTATAATGCACTCACAGCTCCAAAGTTTGGAACACGTTTTTGCATCAAATGGACATGAACATTGGATCCTTGGTTTGTAGCTATTACGGGCAGTTAAAAAAAGTAGTACATCACACAAGTTCTCTAATAAAATCTGGAACATCAAGAAGACAAAATCCTGATTCTTAACCCCAATATTTTATTTTTCCAGTTTTCAAGTCTATCTATTGACCAACACATAAAATATATTACATGTACCCCCCCCCCTTACATAAAGGATACTACTCACTTTCTTAACATCATAGAAGATATTAATACTAACGGACAGTTACCACCCAACAGTCTTCTTTGCACGATGGATGTTTTTTCCCCTTTACACCAATATTCCACATGATGAAGGACTACAAACTCAAAAATCCGCATTAAATCTTTCTAAACAATCAGAACCTCAAACAGTAACTGATTTTGCCAGCCTGGTTTTAACGAGTATTACATTCAGGTTAACGGTACTGCAATGGGTACCAAAATAGCTCCCAATTATGCCAACATATTTATGGGTCATATTGAAAACCAGCTTTTACAACTAAGCCCTATAAAATCTCATATATGGAAACGTTACATAGACGACATATTTTTCATGTGGACAGCCGGTCTTAAATCACTTAAAGAATTTATCTCACATGCAAACTTTCATAAAACAATGCAGTTTACCTGTGATTATTCGCCTACCCAGATTAACTTTCTTTACATCACTGTTTTTTCTAAAAGACGGAATTTTACACACTGACTTGTACAAAAAAAAACCTACAGGCGGACCATAATACCTTCACTATAAAAGCTGTCACCCCTCTCACACTAAACGAAACATTACCTACAGTTAAGCTCTTAGAATAAAGAAAATATGCTCAGATGAAACAGACTATAGAAAACACACCTAGGATCTAAAACAAACCATGTTACAAAGAGGATATAAAGATACCGAAATCGACAGACAAATTGAAAAGGCTAACAACACTCAGCGGAAAAAACATCCTAAATCAGAGCAAAACTAAACTTTCAAATAGAATTCCAATTATTATTATGTATCAATTTAAACTCAAAAACGTTTTCATCTCCTACAACTGAACGATCACCTTAAACAGATGTTTCCCGTTGTTTCTTTTCGAAAAAGCAGAACTCTAAAAGATATCCTTTCTCACACAAAAGTGAACTGCATCCCACCCAAAAATGGTTGTAAACCATGCAATAAAGCCCGTTGTCAAACCTGCAAGTTCATAAAAACCACTGACAAGAACAATCAAAGAAACTATAAAATATCCAAATAAATCACCTGTGAAACAAAAAACACCATTTACCTTATACAGTATAATTACCAACGTGTAGGACATACACAAACAACTCTTTGAGAAGTTTCAACAACCATAAATCTTCTATTAACACCGAAAAAAGATCTTCCTGTTGCTCAACACTTCAACCAACCCGGTCATTCTATTAACGATGTTACTCTCATCGGCATTGAAACAGGATTCAAAGCTAAAGCAGATAGAGAAATAAAAGAAGCTTATTGGATTGCTAATCTAAACACTGTTCAACTTTTCGGTATTAATCTAGATCCTGGAATCGGTGATATCCGTTCATTGGTTTCATCTCTGTCAGAAAAATAATTTTTATTCTTTGCTTATTTTTTCATGTAATGTGAACGCTGAATTTCCTAAAACTTACTATTTATTTATGATAATTTTCCATACCTGTTTTTATAAATTGATTAGCATATCATTTTCAATCATTCTCCAAGTCTCACCTTTATTTATCCATTTCTAAAGTAAAATATCCCTAACACCTTTTCCCATACACTCTTGCTATCGGCTACACTGTACCGGAAATAAGATGCTTACAACAATACACAGAGAAGTGGACTAAACATTTCCTAGAAAACCAGATGACCTTCATTACGTCACTAAACTCCTTTATATATATATCACTCATTCGATTACACCACCATTCCCAATTTGCCCCTGAAGAAGAAAGGTCCACCTTTTGAAAGCGCTCGAGCTATAGGTTTTTTATTCATTTCTATTATAGGGTGTAATGTCCACATCACACAACAGGCTTGGCTAACAGGATCCATGTATAAAACTTACATACATAAAAAAAATAAATAAATTAAATTACAGAAATTAATTTTGGACCTTTTTGCTTTCATAACATTTTCCTTAAGAATCAAAACAACTATTATCTTAGCTCAAAATTTCTATTTAGGGTTTTCAATCGAACTAATGCATTACTTTTTACACTTTCTTCCAGGCAAAAGCTACACATGCGATGGTATTCTTCCTGACCACTGTGACGGATTTATTATTATATATTTAGTTTAATATCGATGTTTGTTGAAATTTAATCTTTGTTTAGAAATGTACATAAATTATACTGTTAAATATGTATTGCAACACTCCTTCCTATTCTCGAAAGTTGTAGAAGATTTAATGAGAGAAGAAAGCAAAGAATTTGCAAATGTTCTAGAGCATATATGATTAGTGAATTCAAATTCTCTGAATCCAATTAATATCTAATTTCAGCGCTAACAAAACATTTTAATGATGTGTGAAGAACAAAGAAATCTTCAAAAAGAATTAAATCCATATCCATGTAGAGTTTATCTATGATTAGATAAATTTTTTCCTTCAAAAGAAACATACAACTCTCAGACAATTACTTCCAAATGTCAGAGTAAAGAGTGACAGCTTGGGAAAATTCTCAGCAGTTTATTTCTACATATATAATTATACACAAGTACAAAAGTGCATCTATAACATATATATATAATGTGGAGATGTATATATACAGAAAACACACACTAGCTCCCTATACAATTCTCACACTGTATAGCTGTGAATGTAAAAACCATGAATATCCCTTATAAGAAGTGCCTTCTCTTCTCATTGAAAGATATAGTTAAAACCACATAGGTGACAAAAATAACAAAATTAAATAACAGGTTAAACAATCTTAAATTTTTTTTTTATATTCTTCTATCTCTGAAATTGTGGGAAAATATAGTCAGCATGAAGGTGAATAAAAAATTGCTGAGCAATGCTGTTGCAATAATCAACATTTAGAAAAGAGTGCAACAATAATACAGGGTAAATAACATTACAGATATTTTCTTGCAACAGTGGCTGTTGTAGATTTGCAACCAAACATTCCAAAAACTATGCTTGATCTCAGTACTTCTTTGACTTCAAGGAATAAGAGCCACGTAGTCCATGTCCAAGACTGGATTTCAGGAGGTTGCGTGAACGAGATGAGCTACAAGTTCTGTTACTATTTTTGTTAATAGTATCCAATTCACTGGTGGACTTGGAAGGCAGTGCTGACCTCTGGTCATCAATACGCCCGGCCTGGAAGCGCAATATGAGGCTGAAAAAGTCATCATCTGGAACTGTGGGTGCATGTTGGGATGTTGGAACTATTTTGGAACTTAAAGCCCTAGCTGGCTGAGATGCAATATTTGGCATACTGCTCCTTTGGTCTTCAATTCTTGTGGACTAGTAATCAAAAAATTTTCATATAGACTTCTGTGTTTAAATATCAAAAATAACCATTCACAGTACTCCAAGTAAACTTACGACTGGCTTTAGGTATTTTATTGCCATAAGCAATATTCTAAAATGCCATACAAACAAAATGTTGCAACTTCTAATAAACTTTCACTTTATACTTTAGCAGGCCTGTCAGTGTCTTACTTCAAACTGTTTAGATTTAGAATAACTTGACTTTCATCTTTTTTTTTTTTTACTGATACAAGAGTGTGAAGTACTTCTTTATGGTCTTGTTTCTTGAACTTAGAAGAAGCTCGTTTTAATAGTATTTAAATTGATTATTTTACAAATGTGGGTACATGAACACAGTTTCCAGACCCGTAATAGATGGCAAAGGATGTAAAAGCAAGCATGAGACAATCAATTCTACTGAAAGTATAATTAATATAAAATGTTTCTTGACTTTTCTGCCCTGGGGAGTTGCCTACTTTGTTTACCTGTTAAAGCCAGGCCATATAAATTGATACCAATCATAATATTAAATTTGGATCAAAGCAAGCTACCTAGATATATATATATATGAATTAAGCATACATACTTAATAATAAGCATAGCTAATTAAATATAATGCTCAAACTATATTACTTAACATTTGGATACTATTGCCGATAACTATATTTTTAGCCAAAAACTCAATAAACTTTCACAATGTTCTGCTAGCTCAAGAGGCTTAGGTTATCCTAAATCCATATACTAAGCTAAAAATGCAGTATAATAATTATAATAAAACAATAAAGATAAAATTAAGTTAGAAATAATAAAAAATGAAATTAATATATTAAATACAGGCTGATGTTCAAGTATGAAATACCATATTGTGGTAAAAGTTATACTTGATCAGCCTAGT